TGGTTGACTATGTGGGAGTCCAGCGACATAGCCATTACGCTAACTGCTGGTTCCCTCTATCTGTCTCTGGTAAGCATATGTTCCCCATGACAAAAACGAGTAGTTTATTGATTAAGCCAGCGGCATATGGGGGACTCATGTCTCTTAAAACCCTGCAGCCCCAGTATAATTTTTAAGCCATCAGGTCCAGGACTTGAACCATGGTGGCATCAACTGCTGGCCCAGACATATTTATACACACACACACACACACACATATATATATTTTTTAAAGAATTATTTAATATTGTTTATTCTTATTTTTTAATTTGCTATATGGAACGTGCACTCACCAGAGAGAATCAGAGAGAGAGAGAGAGAGGAGGATAGTGAGAAAGCAAGTTGTCAGGTCTGGGACTCAAACCATGGTTGGCCAGGTGGGTGTCCAGTGCCCTAACTATTACACCACCTGCTGGACCCATATATATATATACACACACACACACACTCTGGGCCCAAGACTTGAACTGTGGTAGGTCATGTGGGAGTCCAGCACCTTAACTACCACACCACCTGCCAGCTCCCATATTTATATTTTTATTTTCTGAGTTTACAGTTCATTTTTTCTTCTAACACTTTATTACAAAAAATGTCGAACATACTGAAGTTGAATGATATTTACAATGAACATAGGTCAAGACAGTACTTATAGCCTTTGAATTTTTTACATTTACTCATTTTTTAAAAAGCATTATTTATTTAATTTGTTATTATTATTTATTTTTTTAATTTGACCAGAGATAGACAGAGAGAGAGAAGGGAACCTTAGAAAGCAAGCCACTATGTCCAGAACTCCAGCCGTAGTTGGCCACGTTGGAGTTCAGAGCCTTTACCACCATGCCACCTGCTGCGCCAACATTTAATTAATTTTTTAAAAAATTGCCAGAAGGCATGTACGTCATCAGAGAGAGACAAAAAAACAGCTGGGGGGAGGGAAACACCCCTCCCCAGTGGGGCAGAGGCATGCTGTAATTCCCTTTTCCTCCATTTGTCCATCCTGTTGGGATTGCTGGCACACATGCACGCGCACCTGGCATGCCTTTTTTCTTTTTTTTTTAAAGTTTTTGTTATAGGGTACATATGCTTGCCAGAGAGAGACAGAGAGTGAGAGAGGGAAAGTGAGAAATCACCCCCACAGGGAATGGCCACATCCAATCTGTTCTCCTCCAGTCTCCTCTCAGGATTGTGGGCATGTGTGCATACATGCTGACATGTACTTGGTGTGATTTTCAAGTCATCAGGTCTGGAACTCAAATCTTGCAGTCGGCCATGTGGGATACAGCGCCTTAACCTCAATGCCACCTGCTGACTCCCTGGCATGCATTTCAAGTTGCCAGAGCCAGAATTCAAATTCTAGTTGGCTACATGGGATTCAACTCTCTTAACCACAAGACTATGGGGCCAACCCTTAACTCATTTCTTAAAACTCATGTAGAGTTTACAACACCTTGGGTGTGCAGTATGTTGAAGAAATAAATGAACTTAAGATGACGATCTAATTTTTTTAATAGATAAATTTGATTTTTTAACAAATTATAGTAAGCAACCACTGGTTAATTTCCTTAGTTTACTCAGCTACCCAAAAGTCTAAGACAATTGTACAACGAATCTGACATTTATTGACTGGTAAACTTTAATGAAATAATGAGCACATTAATCATTTACAAAAAATTTAATACCTGTGTTACATTCTCTAGAGAATCCTCTTAGGCCTCTGAGAGTTAATTGGATTTTTGGAAACATCCCAAAGCCACATCAGATCCAAGTCTGAAAGATTAAATAATCCAGTTGTCAAAAACCAAAATGGTGGGAACCAGCAGTTAGCGTAATGGCTATGTCGCTGGATTCCCACGTAGTTGACCGCGGTTCGCGTACCGGACCCGGTGGCTTAAAACTCACGCCGGGCGCGTGTACGTGCGCGTGCCCATGATCCCGAGAGGAGAATGGAGGAGAAGGGATTGCGGCGTGACCATCCCCCCTGGGGGGTGATTTCTCGCTTTCTGTCTCTATGTCTCTCTCTGTCTGTCTGGCGAGCGCACGCGCCCTATAGCGAAAATCTCTCCAAAAAAAAAAAAAAAATGGTCATAAATTACTGAAAAAAAAATGGTCATAAATTACTGAGATTGATTTTACTGGGGATTCCAAAAATAGTCTTATGTGCTCATATTACTGAGAGTATGCAAGTATTCTTAGCGGTAGACCAAAAAGAGAATGCATGTTTTCCTGTAGTCATTGCTCGAATGTCATTCTGTTTCGTATGAAAAGCCTTGAAAGGAAACAAGCCCATGCACAACTAAGAACTTAATATTTTAGGCGGGTCATGGAGCACGGTGGTTAAACCATGGGCATTGGAAGCCAGATTCCACATGGCCAACGTGGCTCTATTCTCAGCCCTGTGGCTCAAATACATGCAAGACATGTGTGCATGAGTACCCCAAAGCTGGGCAGGATACAGAAATGCAGGAAAAGGACTACAAAATGATCATGACCCACTGGGTGTGCTTTCTCTCTGGTGAGTGCGTAAGTTCTCTAGCAATTAAAAAAATTAATACAGAAAATGGTATCCTTTTAATTAAAATAAGTAAATGAATATAAGTAATTTAATATATAATAAAATTGGCATTAGAAATCAGAAATAAAATGGAGAATTATTAAATACATAGTGATGGAGACACTAATTGGTCATTAAAAAAATTTAGATCCTTAAATTTTTTTTTAGAGTGATTATTGCTATAGGGTGCATACATTTGCCAGAGAAACAGAGACAGAAAGCAAGAAATCAGCCCTCCACAGGGGATGGCCATACTGGAAACCCTTCTACTCCATTTTCCTCTTGGGATTTTGGACATGCACATACACATGCCTGGGATGAGTTTGTTCTTTTTTTTTTTTTTTAAGAATTATTTTACTTAACTTTATTTATTTATTAATTTTTAAATTTGACCAGAGAGGGACAGAGTGAGAGTGTGAGCGAGAAAGAGAAAGCAAGCCACCAAGATTTGGGACTTGAACCACAGTAGGCTATGTGGGAGTCCAGTGTCTTTAACCACCACGCCACCTGCCAGCCCCACCAGCATGAGTTTTAAGCCACAGGATTTGGGACTTGAACCATGGTTGACTATGTGGGAGCCAAGCAATGTAACAATTATGCCATGTGCTGGTCCCAGATCTTTAATTTTTATTAGTGGTTTTTCACATTTCAAGCATGTAGTCTCCTTTAACAGGAAAAAGAAATTTCACACACATACAATACCTGAAGGTTAACTTAATATATTTTTATTTTAATATGTCTTATATTTGTATCAACATAAAATAGGAATATATTCTTTAGGCATATAGTTCTCATATAACAATAAAAGCTAAAACATTTACAAATTAAATTAAAACAAAAAACTGACAAAATGCAAATTAACCACCTTAATTTATTTTATATAACAAATGATACTGTTTTGTTCTAATAAAAGAACAATGTTTTGCTCAAAAAAAAAAAAAAAACTCGGGAACCAGCAGTTAGCGTAATGGCTATGTTACTGGACTCCCACGTAGTCGGCCGTGGTTCGCGTCCCGGACCTGGTGGCTTAAAACTCACGCCAGGCGTGTGTGCATGCGTGCCCAAGATCCTGAGAGGAGAATGGAGGAGAAGGGATTGCGGCGTGATCATCCCCCCTGGGGGGTGATTTCTCGCTTTCTCTCTCTATGTCTCTCTCTGTCTTTCTGGCAAGCGCACGCGCCCTATAGCGAAAAAACCTCTCCAAAAAAGAAAAAAAAGAAAAAAAAAACTCATAATTATTTATTTGGCTTAATAGCAACAGCTATAGTTTCTTTTTTGTTGTTGTTGTTGTTTTAATATAATTACTTATTTAATTTTATTTATTCATTAATTTATTTTAATTTGACCAGAGAGAGATAAAGAGTGAGAAAGCAAGCTGCCGGGTTCGGGACTTGAACTGTGGTCGGCCATGTGGGAATGTCCAGCACCTTAACCACCACGCCATCTGCTGGTCCCGACAACAGCTATAGTTTCAATTTCATTTTGTTCTTAAACTGTTTCTGAATGTTTTTACTTTAATAATAATGTTGAGAATGCTTATTCACTTAAGTATTGGGTAGTCAGAAAAGTATGACTTATTTTCCTGTTTTTCTATTCAAAAATAACTTTTCCAACAACCCAATATATAACTTATTCAAACTGGTATTGATAAACTCAAGTGTATTTTTTCACTCTTTCAAAGTAACAAGAATAGAATATTAACCAAATCTGGCAAACAGAAATCCTCAAATGCCAGTCTCGAAAGGTGTGAATTGATGGCCAGCTGTGGTGTGGTGGTTAAGGTGGCTGGGATCTCACGTGACCAGCTTGAGAAACACACTGGGTGTGTGTACATATGTGCTCAAAATCTCAGGAAGAGACTGGAGAGGAGATTGCAGTGTGGCCATCTCCCCAGGGAGAGCTTTCTCTCTCTCTTTCTGTCTCTATCCAGCAATCACATATGCCTTATAGCCAAAAAAAAAAAATCAAGAGAGAAAATTAAAAACTGCCTTCATTAAAATCTGTATTAATGAATGACTACTAAATCTAATTAATTTCAGATGAAACATTCTTTAGTATCTATGTGCTATTATTGCTAGTGAACTGCTGCAAATTACTCTGCATAGTAGCTTTACAACCCAATCATACTATTATGATACAGATGTTTTGAGTATTTTAAGACCTTGTCACATAAAAAATGAAATAAGCTATGTGTACAAAAGGATAACGTCACTTTTCTCATCATATAATCTATGTTCTGTGGCTTCAACAGTTTTCTTTTTTTTCAAATCAGACTTTAACTTTGAATACTTAACACCATTGTTGATGTGCATTTCACTTTCTTCATGTTTACTAAGAATGTGTGATAAATGCTGCCAATCTTTGCAACCATTCTCATTTTTCAATTGATTCTTTCCTTCTCCAAAGAGTTTGCAATACAGACAAAATACAGAATCTTTTGAAGTTGAATAAAGTAACCAAAATCTAGTAGATTTTTCACCATTTGGAAGAATTCGTGTATAGTAAGTTTCTGAAAACTTCCTCCCTGTATTGTCCTTTGGAAAGTTAAAATTTCTTACTTGAGGTGGATCATTTTCAACAAGAATGTCCCGCTGTTTGATATTCAAAATTCGAGGCCATGTCCCTGGATCTGCAGAAAGCACAACTGGTATAATGGAGTTTTCTGATTTTTTCCCTTCCAGTTGCACTTGAAATTTATCAACAATGGTTGACATGGAAGAAGGTAAATTCACACCCTCTTTGAACAGTGGAGTATCTGTCCTATATTCTGCTGAAACATGTAGCTCCAAAGTCTTGTCTTTTTTCTGTGATATTCTTTCTATTTTTTCCAAAAATGTATTTGATGATCCACAGAATTTTCTTTCATCTTCTCCTATAACAGCATATCTTTTTCTGTTTTCTGATGCTGGTAATTTTTTAGATTTTGTTTCCATCATCTAGGGGAGAGATAGGATGAATTATTTTCATTCGGGATTGCTAACACTTAAAAAATTGATATATAGGGACCAACAGTTAGCATAATGGCTATATCACTGGACTCCCATGTAGTTGACCATGGTTCAAGTCCTGGACTGGTGGCTTAAAACTCACGCCGGACGCGTGTGTGTGCATGCCCAAGATCCCGAGAGGAGAATGGAGAAGGGATTGCGGTGTGACCCCTTGGAGGGATGATTTCTCGCTTTCTGTCTCTCTGTCTCTGTCTGCTGAGTGCACGGGCCCTATAGCAAAAACCTCTCCAGAAAAAAAAAAAAGATGTATATGCAAATGCCCTATAAATAAATGACTCAAATATGTTCATCATTATCTATTAAAATAGTGCAAATAAAAATGGCAATAACATACTAATTTATACTCTCTGGTTTTATATATATATAAATATAATAAAATAAAATGATTCTTTAAAAAAAATAGATAATGACAAATGTTGGCAAAGCCACTGAGTAACTAAAATCTTCCTAAAGTGCTGGTGGGAATGCAAAATAGTACAGCTACTTTGTAAAACCGTCTGGCAGTTCCTCTGAAGTTTAAATACAGAGTTACCATATGAGCCACTCCAAGGTATACACCAAACATATTCAAGAGAAATTACAGCAAATGTCTACACAAAAATTTATACATGAGGGGCCAGCAGATGGCATGGTGGTAAAGGATGCTGGACTCCCACTTGGCCAACTCAGTTCAAGTCCCGGACCTGGAGACTTGCTTTCTCACTTTCTTTCTCTCTCTCTCTGTCCCTCTCTGGTCAAATAAAAATAAATAGATAAATATTAATGAAATAATTCTTTGAAAAAAACCTTATACATGAAAGTTTATATCAACATTATTTATAATTCCCAAAAGTAAAAAGCAACTCAAATATCCAACACAGATGAAGTAATAGATAAAAATACAATGAGGGACTGGCAGGTGGTGTGGTAGTTAAGGGCGCTGGACTCCCACATGGCCAACTGCAGTTCATGTCCTAGATCTAGCGGCTTTCTTTCTTTTTTTTGGAGAGGTTTTTGCCATAGGGCATATACGCTCGCCAGGCAGAGAGAGACAGAGAGACAGAAAGCAATAAATCTCCCCCCAGGGGGATGGCCATGCCGCAATCCTCTCTCCTTCATTCTCCTCCCGGGATCTTGGGCACACACGAACACGTGCCCAGTGTGTTTTAAGCCACCAGGTCCAGGACCTGAACCATGGTTGACTATGTGGGAGTCCAGTGACATAGCCATTATGCTAACTGCTGGTCCCGCAGCTTGCTTTCTCATTCTCTCTCTCCCTCCCTCTCTGGTCATATTAAAATAAATAAATAAACTAATAAATTAAGTTACATAAAAAATAATTCTCGGGACCAGCAGTTAGCGTAATGGCTATGTTGCTGGACTCCCACGTAGTCGACCATGGTTCGCGTCCCAGACCCAGTGGCTTAAAACTCATGCCGGGCATGTGTGCGTGCGTGCCCAAGATCCTGAGAGGAGAATGGAGGAAAAGGGATTGCGGCGTGGTCATCCCCCCTGAGGGGTGATTTCTCACTTTCTGTCTGTCTCTGTCTGTCTGTCTGGCGAGTGCACATGCCCTATAGCAAAAACCTCTAAAAATATATAAATAAAACTAAAAAATAAAAAAAAATTCTTAAAAAACAATGTAATGGAATACCATCTGAAAATAAAGACAAATAAAAGACAGAATACTGCTATGTATTATGACATGGATAAACCCTGAAAACAGTGTAATACATGAAAGAAGTCAGTAGCAAAAACCCATAATGGTGTATAACCCAATTATGTGAAATGTTCAGAATATCTAAATTTAGAGCAACAGGAGATACATTAACAGTTGCTAAGTACTATGGGGGTTAAGGTGTGGGTGAGGTGATGAAGAAAAATGTGGGCTGACTGTTAATGGATATGAGGTTTGGGGCCAGCAGGTGGTATGATGGTTAGGGCTCTGAACCCCCGACAAGGCTGGCCACAGTTCCAGTCTCAGACCTGGTGGTTTGCTTTCTCACTTTCCCTCTCACTCTCTTTCTGTATGGTGAGCATGCATGCCCTATAACAAATTAAAATAATAATAATAATAAATTTAAAAATAATTCTTTTTTTAAAGACAGTGATGCCATTTTCTTTCATTTAATTTTACTTATTTATTGTTATTCTTCAGTTTGACCAGGTAGAGACAGAGACAGAGAGAGAGAGAGATACAAAGGGAGAATGAGAAAGCAAACTGATACGTGTGCGTGCGTGTGTGCCCAAGATCCTAAGAGAATGGAGGAGAAGGGATTGCCAAGTGGCCCTCCCTTTGAGGGGGTGATTTCTCACTTTCTGTCTCTCTGTCTCTTTGTCTTTCTGGTGAGCACACGTGCCCTATAGCAAAAACTTCTCCAAAAATAGAAAGCAAACTGCAAACCACCAAATCCAGCACTCAAACATCGGTCAGCCAGGTGGGAGTTCAGTGCCTTAACCACCATGCTACCTACCAGCCCGCTAAATAAACAATTCTTTAAAAAAGGATATAGGGGCCCACAGGTTACGTGTTGGTTAAGGGTGCTAGACTCCCACATGGTGGATCACAGTTCAAGTCCCAGACCTGGCAGCTTGCTTTCTCACTTTCCCTCTCTCTCTTTCTCTCTATCACTCTGTCCCTCTCTGGTCAAATTAAAAAATAAGTAAATAAATAAATGATGTTAAATAAAAATAATTCTTTTTAAAAAAGGATATAGGGTTCTTTTCAAGATGACAATATTCTAAAATTTACTGTGGTGAACTGTAGAATATATTAATTATACCACAAAGTTGCTATAAAAAAAAATGTAAAAGTCACTAAAATTGGGGGACCAGCAGGTGGCGTGGTGGTTAAGGTGATGGACACTCCCGACCACAGTTCGGGTCCTGGAACTGGTGGCATGCTTTCCCATTTTCTCTCCCTCTCTTTCTGTCTCCCTCTGATCAAATTAAAATAAATGAATGAATAAATAAAAATAAATAACTAAATAAAAAGTCACTAAAATTGATTGAGACCAGCAGTGGTGTAATGACTATGTCACTGGACTCCCATGTAGCCAACTATGGTTTGAGTCCCGGACCTGGTGGCTAAACTCATGCTGGGCACATGTGCGTGCTTGCCCAAGATCCTGAGAGGAGAATGGAGGAGAAGGGATTGAGGCATGGCCATCACCCCTGGGAACTGATTTCTGGCTTTTTGTCTCTCTAACTCTCTCTGTCTTTCTCATGAGTACACGCACCCTATAGCAAAAACCTCTCCTCCCCACAAAAAAAAAATAAATAAATAAAAATCACTAAAATTAAACAGTAATTAGTTTTTGGGGTTTTTTGATAGGTTTCTGCAATAGGCCGCGTGTGCGTGTGCTCAACAGAAAGACAGAAAGACAGAGAGACAGAAAGTGAGAAATCACCCCCCAGGGAAAATGGCCACGCTGCAATCCTTTTTCCTCCATTCTCCTCTCGGGATCTTGGGCACACAAGCACATGCGCCCTGTGTGAGTTTAAGCCACCAGGTCCAGGACTTGAACCATGGCCAACTACATAGGAGTCCAGTGACATAGCCAGTATGCCAACTGCTGGTCCCAATTTTTGGGTTTTTTAAATTTAATTTAATTCTTTTTTTTTTTTTTTTTTTTTTTTTGCTATAAGGTATGTGCACTCATTGGAAAGACAGATAGAAAGCGAGACTCACCCAGGAGGGATAGTCATGATTCAATCCTTCTCCACTTTCCTCTCAAGGTTTTGGGTATGCATATACACACGACCAGCATGAGTTTCAAGACACTGGGACTCCCACCACATGAGAGTCCAGCGCTATAACCCTTATGCTACCTGCTAGCCTCAACAGTAATTAGTTTTAAAGGTAAAATTTCTATAAACAAGTCCTTCAATATACATATTTATACAGTATAAAAGGGCCTAATTCAGGCATACTTAACATTTTATTCATCATTCATCATTAATAATAAATGACTGGACTGCCCCCATAGCTCAGTAGTTAAGGGATCCAGATCCCATATGGCCAACAATGGTTCAAATCCTGACCACGGTGGCTTGAAGATCACACAAGGCATACATAAGTATATTCCCAAGAGAGGAATGGGAGAGAGGAATAAAGAAAAAACAATTGTGGTGTGACTCCCTTCCCATGAAGGACTTGCTTCATCTCTCTCCCTCCTTCCCTCCTTCTCTCTGGCAATCACATGTACTCTCTAGGAAAAAAAAAATAAAAAAAGAAGAAAAAATAGTACATGATTACTATTTTATTTTATTATTATTATTATTTTTGGTGAGGTTTTTGCTATAGGGCGTGTGTGCTCAGCCAGAAAGACAGAGACAGACAGAGAGACAGAAAGCGAGAAATCGCCTCCCTAGGGGGATGGCCATGCCACAATCCCTTCTCCTCCATTCTCCTCTCCGGATCTTGGGCACGCATGCACATGTGCCCAGCTTGAGTTTAAGCCACCGGGTATGGGACTCAAACTGCGGTTGACTACATGGGAGTTCAGCGACATAGCCGTTATGCTAACTGCTGGTTCCTGGCTGACAGCAGTTTAAGACCCAGACCTGGTGACTTGCTTTTATTCTCTCTCTGTCTCTCTGTCTCTCTCTGGCAAATACACATGCCCTGTATCAAATTGAAGAATAGTGATAAATAAAATTAAATAATGATTTAAAAAAGAGAGAGAGAGAAGCACTATTTTTAGCATAAAACAATGAGGAGATTCAAGTTAAGAAACATGGAGGCAGGACCAGCAGTTGGCGTAATGGCTATGTCATTGGACTCCCATGTAGTCGACCATGGTTCGAGTGCCAGACCTGGTGGCTTAAACTTGCCGGGCGCATGTGTGTGTGTGCCCAATATACAGAGAGGAGAATGAAGGAGAAGGGATTGCGGCATGGCCATCCCCCCTGGGGGGGTGATTTCTTGCTTTCTATCTCTTTTTCTCCTTCTGTCTTTCTGGTGAGCGTATGCGTCCTATAGGAAACACCTCTCAAAAAATATATATATATATATCACAATAAAATATATGTGAGACCAGCCAATGGTATGGTAGTTGAGGTGGCTGGTCTTCCATGGCTGACTGCATGATTTGAGTCTTGGATCTAGTAGTTTAAAAATAAGCAGGGCAGGGCCAGCAGATGGCATAGTGGTTAAGGTGCTGGACTTCCACCACATGGTTGACTGTGGTTTGAGTCCCAGACGTGGCAGTTTGAAACTCATGCCAGGCACTTCTGTGTGAGTGCCCTATAGCGAACAGCTCTCAAAAAAACAAAAACAAAAACAAAACAATGCTTTTTGGGCCTGCAGGTGGCATGGCAGTTAAGGAGTTGGACCCTGTATGACCAAGTCCATGTTTTTTTTTTTTTTTTTTTT